CCCCCCCAGCTCTGCTGGTGCCCCTCACTCCCGACCTGCAGCCCCTGCTAGCCCAGCGCTGGGCTCCTCTCCCCTGAGTTTTTCCAATGCATCCTGATTAATCCTCACCTCCGACTCCCCCTCTCTTGCGCAGTGGGGCTGGGGCAGAGGGGCGCCGCTCGGGCTGCTTCGGGTCCCAGGGTGGGGGCGTTTGTGCGGGATGCCCAGGGCTCCGTTCCCCGTTGCAGGTGGCGACGTGCGGCCCTCTGGAACCGCCAGCCCAGCAGGCCAGCGCCACAAAAACCATCCTGGCCTATGAGACGCCGAAGGACTCTGGGCACCTCCTGCACATTGGGGTGGAGACGGAGGAGGCTCAAGTGGGGACCTCGCTGAGCGTCTTCTTCTACACGGAGCACCAGAGCTCCGACACCCAGCAGTTCACCATCCTGGTGAGCGCCAGGCCGGGGCCAGCCTGGGATCCGCTGCGGGATGCATCCGGTCCCCTGCACAGCCGGCGCTGGGCACCCCTGGCGTCAGCAGCAGTGTCCGGGGCCCAGCACCCGCGGGGCTGGTGGGGCTGGACAGGCCCCGGGAGCTGGGAAATGCGAGCGCCCCTGTGCGTCGGGAACCGCAACCGTCTGTCTGGGGAGCCCCCGGGGCTGGCGTTCGGCCCCCCCGGGTCTGTCTGTCGCCCCCCCCCGGGTCCGTCTGTCCCCGCCTGGCCCCCGGCCTCCCGGGTCTGTCTGCCCCACACGCCCCCCGCCGGGTCTGTCTGTCCTCACACCCTCCCCATGGGTCTGTCCCCACACCCTCTGGGTCCATCTGTCCCCACACGCCCCCACCATGGGTCCATCTGCCCCCCCACTCCCCGTGGATCCTGGGCTGGTGTTCAGCCCCTGGGGTCTGTCTGTCCCCACATGCCCCCCACATAGGCCCGTCGTGCCCCATACCTGCCCAGCGCTGTCACCGCGCCGTCTGCAGCACTGAGTGGGCTGCTCCCAGGTGGTGGACGCGGGCGCCCACGTGGATGGCTCCCGGGTGATGCCCAGGCACTGCCCAGCCCTCGGCTCTGCAGCCTCCAAGCCGGTGTGTGCCAGGAGCCGGCGGCTCTGGGCTGGGCTCCCACGGGGCTCCCTGGGGCTCCTGGCGTCTCACCGGCCTCCCTCCCTCCCCCAGCTGCTGAGCAAAGGCAGGATTGTCCGGGCCTGGACCCAGCCCCGCAGCCTGGGCACCGTCATGACGGCCTGGACACTGGACGTGGGGCCCGAGCTGCTGCCCTCGTTCCGCATCGTGGCGTATTACTACCTGCCGGGCAGCGCGGAGCTGGTGGCCGACTCGGTGTGGGTGGATGTGGCAGATGGCTGCATGGGCACCGTGAGTCCCTGGGGCGCGGGGCGGGAGGGGGCTGCGGCCAGATGGGCCTTTCCCTGCGTGGCCCCTGGGTTCCACTCCCTGCGCCCTCCACGTCAGGGCAGCCCCTGGCCTGGGGTGGGGAGGGGGCCGGGTGCTTGTCTCACCCCGTCTCCCTGTCCCGCCCAGCTGCACGTCGGCCCCCAGAGCAAGGACGAGAGGAAGCTGTTCAAGCCCCAGCGGGAACTCAAACTGGAGGTGACCGGGGACCTCCACGCCATGGTGGGGCTGGTGGCCATGGACAAGGCCCTGTTCGCGCTCAACAAGAAAAACAAACTGACGCAGAAGAAGGTGAGAGAAGGCGCTGACCGTGTGCGGGGGGGAGGGGGGGCAGCCTGGGAGCCAGGACTCCTGGGTTCTCTCCCCGGCTCTGGGAGGGGAGTGGGGGCTGGTGGGTTAGAGCAGTGGGGGCTGGGAGCCAGGACTCCTGAGTTCTCTCCCCGGCTCTGGGAGGGGAGGAGACGGGGGGCTGGTGGGTTAGAGCAGTGGGGGCTGGGAGCCAGGACTCCTGGGTCGTGGCAGGGGTCACCTGTCTCTCTGAGAGCCAACGTGCGCTCCTGTCCCCCCACACCCCTCCGGCAGGTCTGGGACACGGTGGAGGGACACGACATTGCCTGCACAGCGGGCAGTGGGCAGAACCTCATGGGGGTGTTCACAGACGCGGGGCTGGACGTGGCCACCAGCCTGGGGATCTCCACCAAAGCAAGGACAGGTAACGCACGGACGGACGGACGGATGGGGCTTCCCACCGGGGGGCAGAGATCCCGGCACGGCCCCGGCCAGCACGTTCCACACAGAACGGAGACGGGGACAGGACAGCTCGGGGCAGGGAACGGGGCCAGCGGGCCTGTCCCCTCGGCGGGGCGCCGGCTCCCATCCAGCCCCAGGGTGGGGACTGGCTGGCTCAGGGGGGCCGGGAATGGGGCCTTTCCCCTTTAGGCAGCAGCCTGGCCTGGGTACGTCCCTTTCCCGGCCTGACGCCCTGTCCACACACACGGGAGGTGGGTACAGCCCCCCTGGGGCGACGCTCCGATCCCAGCAGCCTGGTTCAAACCAAGACTGGAGCGTCCACACGACCTGTAACTGAACTGGTTTCAATCCCCATCCCACACCTTTGCAAACCTGGCGCCCTTCGGTGCAGCAGCCAGGCCTGGTCTCTGGAGGCGGGGGAGGGGGGTCTCTGGAGAAGCGGGAGGGGGGTCTCTGGAGGTGGGGGGAGGGGAATCTCTGGAGGCGGGGGAGGGGCCCCCCCACCCTGCCGTCCCTCACCGCCCCCCTGGCCTTGCAGATCTGCGCTGCCCCCAGCCGGCTGCCAGGCGCCGGCGCCGGTCCCTGCAGACGCTGCAGAAGAAGCAGCACAAAGGTCAGGAGGGTTTTTTTTGGGGGGGGGGGGGTCCCGCTCCGTCACGCCAGGCTCCCTGTGCCCCACCCGTGCCCCACCCAGAGCGCCGTGCCCCACGGAGCCACCCCGACCCACACGGAGCCCATCACCCGCCGCAGGCCTCAGGCCGGCCCCCGGCTCTCTGCCCGCCCAGCATGGCGCTGCCCCACCGGCGCGTGGCCTGGTCCTCACGCCCTGCTCACCCCTGCCCTCCGCAGCCGGCTCTGGGTACTTGCTGGCACCTGGACTCCCCGGCTCAGCCATGGCCCAGGGCCCTCGGTGAGGGGCACCGTGTCCGCGTCTCTCCCCTGGGCCCGGACGCCTGGGTTCCACCCCTGCCTGTGCTGCTTGCCCCAGTGGACCAGTACCAGACGGCCCTGGAGAGACGGTGCTGCGAGGCCGGGATCCAGGAGAACCCCATGGGGCACTCGTGCGAGCAGAGGACGAGCCGCGTGCACCTGGGCCCCCCCTGCGTGGCCGCCTTCCTGGACTGCTGCCGCTACGCCCGGGCACTGAGCCGCGAGGAGCGCACCAAGCTGCTGCTGGGGAAAAGTAACCGCGGGGGAGGGCCCAGCCGGGGGGGGGGGGGG